AGAGTCATACACATAAATGCACCTATCCTTGAAGGACATCACAGCCATTATCTAATGCGATTGTTCTGCAACATTAATTGGCATTAAGACATGCTCGACAGTGTGCCATGGAACATTGGCATCCAAGACAAACCCCTGAATATACTCTGCAATGACATGTTTCGGAGTGCACACATCACTGTCTCCATCTGTATCAATAAACGCCTGCCACAACTTATTAATTTTCTCGTCGAAGTACCAATATGTGGTGGTGAATGTTACAGGTAGGTCTTTGTCATACATCCCTTTCTTCCTCAGATAATAGAACAAAACATCAATGTGCTGAAACAAAACATAAGAAATAACTAATCACTACAGGCTCGTAAGCTTTAAGCAGCTACGGTTTTTCAAACCAAAATCACAGAAACAAAGGAAAATGAATGCTCACTTGTGACGACCCAGCCGGTCGTCTCATGAGTTACCGCTCTGTTTCCCCCATTTCTGCTTCTTTATGTTTCGTAATCCGTGATTTGTGGTATCGGTTTGGTCAGATCGAGTCCGAAATGATTTTTGATAAGGTTTGAGACACTTAGTCTCTTTTATGAAGGCTTAAGTTGGAAAAGTCAACCGGATGTTGATTTTTGTGTTAGAGGGCTCGGATGTGAGTTCTGATGGTTCGGTAAGCTTCGGGAGGTGATCTGTGACTTAGGAGTGTGATCGGAATGGGTTTTGGAGGTCCGGAGTAGAATTAGGCTGAAATTGGGGAAGTTGATATTTTGGCGATTTCCGGTTGATAGGTGAGATTTCGATCCGGGGGTCGGAATGGAATTCCGAGAGTTGCAGTAGCTTCGTTGTGTCATTTGGGATGTGTGTGTACAGTTTCAGGTCATTCGGACGTGGTTTGGTTGGGTTTTTGATCGAAAGCGTATTTCAGAAGATTTTAGAAACTTAAGCTTGAATCCGATGTGTTTTGAGTAATTTGATGTCGTTTGAGGTGTTTTGATAATTGGAACAAGTTTGAATAAGGTTTTAGGATGTTTTGGTGCCTTCGGTTGAGGTCCCGGGGGCCTCGGGTGAGTTTCGGGTAGTCATTCGGATCATTTGGAGTTGGAAAATTGCAGAAAAATTGCAGGTTCAGCTGTGTAGGATTTTTGCCCTTCGCGATCGCATAGGGTGTATCGTGATCGCGTAGAAGGAATTGTGGAATGCCAAATTTAAGCCTTCGCGTTCACGTGAGAGGATTCGCGTTCGCGGAAGGTTGGGAAGTTGTGCATCGCATTCGCGAGAAGGCACTCGCGATTGCGTAGAGGAAGATGGGTCAGATGGGCTGTAGGTCATTTGTTCTTCGCGTTCGCGAAAGAGTAGGAGGCGGAAGCATCGCGTTCGTGTAGGCTATGTCAAGTTTGCGTAGTGTAATTTTGGGGAGTTGAAGATTTGTTCTTCGCGATCGCGATGAAGGAGGAGTCAGACCTGGGCTGAATGTTATAATTCATTTCATCCGCGATTTTGGGTCAATTTTCACCCATAGTTGATCATTTTGAGAGCTTCTTGGTGGAGATTAAAGAGGAATTCAAGGGTAATCGATTGGAGGTAAGATTTTTGAACTTAAAACTCGATTCTATTATGAAAGCTACCTAGAAAATCAGGGAAACCTAAGCTAAAATGGAATTACTGGGGCTTGGGATTTTGGGATTTTGATTTGGGGATTTGGAGGACCAATTGGGGTCCGATTTGAGATCTTTTGGAATGTATGAACTCGTGGGGAGATAAGCAACCCGTTGATGTAAAAATTTCTGAGTTTCAAGAAGTGGGCCCGGGACTCGGGTTTTGCTAATTTCGGGATTTTTGGTGTTTTTCGATTGTTTTCGCTTGGGCTTTGTTCCCTTAGCATATTTTGACGTATTCGTTCTTATTTTGGATAGATTCGACGCGCGTGGAGGCCAATTCGAAGGGCAAGGGCATCGCGTGCTAGGGAATTAGCCGGTTTGAGGTGAGTAATGCTTTTCAATGATGTTCCGAGGGTTTGAAACCCCGGATTGTGCATCGCAGTACTATGTTGAGGTGAGGCACACGCTCGATGACGAGCGTGGGGTCGTATACTATTAGGGATTTGGACTTGGTCTGTCTCGATTGATGATTTTACCGCGTATTTGATTTAAAACTATTTGTTATCATCGTTTATTGGGCTGAATGCCATATTTGGGCTTCGTGCCAACTATATGGACCCTTCGGGGCTTTTATTTGATATTTCATCACTGTTTTGACTTACCGTTTGAACTCAGTCATATTAAATTCCACTGTTTTACTACTCAGCCGTTTTTACTCAGTTTTTAGGATCTAAATGATATTTCAAATGATGTTTGGGTTGAGAAACACTGTTATACTATTGA